TGGAAATATATACATCAGGCATTTTATCCATCTAATGATTCCCTGGTGTTTGAAATTGTATTAAAATATACTATCTGAGTTTATGAGTTTCTATTCTTTTCTATACTATTAAGTGTGCAAGGCTATCTATCTGCCAGAAAACACCAGAATTATATCCCAGTACTATCCTGACATATACAAATGCCATATCTTCTCCCTGATACGAACACTATCATTTTCTCATTAGAATAGGTTAGAATTTAGTTCCATCTGAATTTTAATATGAATGCATCAGTCCTGCAAGTCCCAAATATATTAGGAGCACTTGCAGAAAATGAAACTACATTTTTCTGAATCCAACAAGGTAATTTATTACAGTAAGAGGAGTTTGATAGTGGAACCAATTATGCAGGAAGGTGATAAACTCTTCATGTTGGGGGGTATTCAAGATAAAACTAAGTAGATATTTGTCACTTTAATTTTGATTCGTACACTGAGTTGAAAGTTGGACAATAGCCTAAATAGCATTGTCTAATTATTTCATGATTCCATGAAAAAGATGCGCAAAACTGATGCTTGTAACCAGAAAAAAGTAGAAATTTCAGGAAAGCAGGTTTTAGTAAAATTGAAACTTGCTGGCAATAACAATTCATTAGAATAGAATAGAATAGAATAGAATAGAATAGAATAGAATAGAATAGAATAGAATAGAAGGGACCTTGGAGGTCTTCTAGTCCAGCCCCTTGCTCAAGCAGGAGAACCTATACCATCTCAGACAGGTGATTGTCTAGTCTCTTCTTAAAAAAAACCCAGTGATGGAGCGCCCACGATTTCTGGGGCTAAGCTGTTCCACTGGTTGAATGTCCTCACTGTCAGGAAGTTTCTCCTTAATTCTAGGTTGCTTCTCTCTTTGATCAGTTTCCAATCATTGTTTCTTGTCCTGCCCTCTGGTGCTCTGGTGAACAAACTGACCCCTTCTGCCTTGTGGCAGCCCCTCAGATACTGGAATACTGCTATCATGTCTCCCCTATTTCTTCTTTTCTTTAGACTAGCAAACCCAAGTCCCGCAGCCATTCTTTGTATGTTTTAGCCTCCAGGCCTTTGATCATATTAGTTGCTCTTCTCTGAATTTTTTCCAAACTCTCAATATCTTTTTTGTGATACGGTGACCAAAATTGGCTGCAGTATTCCAGGTGTGGTCTCACTAGGTGTGGTACTAGTACTTCGCATGATCTTGATTCTATGCCTCTGTTTATACAACCCAGGATTGTGTTAGCTGTTTTGGTTGCTGCTGCACACTGCTGGCTCATGGTCAAGTGATTGTCCACTCGGACTCCAAGGTCCCTTTCACAGTTAACCATGGAATTGATCATCAACCCTTCTTAGGAAGGGTTCTTCTTTACTAGAGGTTCTCTTCCCAAGCACTTACATGTCAGGAATTCCGTGTCTGGTAATTGCATTAAAAGACCTCCATGGTCACTTTCAATTTGGTACACGTACTTTTGATTTATGACCAGTCAGTGACTGTTGAAAGTTTCAACAACCTCTCCCAAAATGAGAACCTGGTTCTGAAGTGCCAATGGCCGTGCACCCATTGTGGCCATGTGTCCACATTTTGGGTGCTCAGCAACTATCCTGCATTTACAGCCATTTGTAGTGTCACATGTTTGTAATTTACATTTTTGTGGAACACCAATGTTTTCTTCTCGTTTCCTGCAAAAAATATCTATAGCGAACAACGAGTTCACTTAATGACTGCAGCATTCACTTAGCAATCGCTTAACAACCAGTGCATTTGCTTAACTGACACAAAAAATGTTGTAAAATCGGATTGATTGTGTGATGCCCTGCTTTATGACCACCACGACTTATTGAGTCTAATTGCCAGGCTCAATTCCAGTCATAAGTCAAGGCTGCTTGTAATTGCATAATTCATAGACTTTGGAAAAAAACTGTGTGTTTTCTTATTACTCCTGTTACTACGGTATAATAACAAAGCCCTTCTTAGAATGAGGAAGCTAATCTTCTTATATTGTTTCATTGTTCACTTCCCATCAGCTGATATTAATAGAAAGGCCTTATTGTTTTCTAAGAAGACTTAGAAAAACCAGCATTGCTTCTGCTCATGAAGTTTTATGCAGCTAATCATGTGTCAGGGCCCTGCCTGTCAGGTTTTTGTCTACACCGAACAAATGCTCCATATATTCCACGCCTTTGACTTTTTTTGGATTTCAAGTTAAATTATTGGCTTTCCTCCAATGGAAGATGATTAAACCAGTGATAGCTCAGTCTTCGTCCTGGGTGAATACTTTCCACCTGTTTTCTTTAATTAAATCCAGGCCTATGACTGCTATCGGGTCTCATGAAAAATGTTCTTGAAACAATGACTAATTGATTTTGACCAGCAAGGTTGATCTGCTGCCCTGAATTAGCTATGGGTCTCAGCTTTGATTTTGCTGTTTCACGAGTCCCTCCTTCTCCCTTTTTAGGCTGCCAAAGAACACCCTACTCCAATCGCCTCCACAGCAATTACCTTCTGTGAAGGCATATTACAGGCTACAAAACACAGAGAAAGCACAGCGGTGTAAACACAAGTGATTCAGAATGTCTGGCTGAATTGTCACTGCTTGGTTTCTTTCCAGTCCTGCTTGGCGTATGATTTAAGTGTTACAGTTGCAGGTCAGCACAGCAGTTCTGTCCGGCTAATCTGAGTGGTTTACGTCTTGCCCATTTCACAAGAAGGACTGTTAATGAGACGCTGGCAGCTGCTGAAATGTAGGGAACCTTTGCACTAACAACAGAGAAAATGGGATCTTGTTTCAGTGGCTGCCCATGTCCACTCAGAGATGTCCATCTTTCAGTTACAATTAGTTAGTGTGCTACAAGCTTAACAAGATGCATACAGCCACTCACCTCTCTTCATAGCAACCAAAAGAAGCTTGCTCCCTTTTTGATGATTTTTGCACCTGCAGGTATAACCAGAGGATAAAAATGGGGTGGGCATCCAAGATGAAAAATAGTGCCAACAGCAATGATAGATATATCTGGTCTTCCCAACATGGAGGAGCTTCCCAGTACTGTTGAGTTTAATATTATGAAATTATTCTGAAGGTATTTTGCAGTGGTAAAGTAAACTGCCCTTGAAACAATATGTACTAGCTTGACTCACATCTATTTTCATGAAACAGAAACTTCCCTTAGAAAAATTCGATGTATTATTGTTGAAATTAAAGCTGCAGTTCCATCAGGTGCACTGAGAACATGTGTTCTCTGGGTCCTCCTTCAAGTTAATATGACACTTTGTTTAGCAGACGGAAGCTCCCTCTGCTGTCTCATGTGGAAAGTCAGTTAGGGGAAAAATTGGGGATAGGAAACTATCAGCAGCTGCCATGGGCATTTCAAGCAAGTATTTGATCTATTCTATAGCAACTTGCATCATGTGCTAACCACCCGTCTTTTGGATAATCTTACTTAAGCAGTTGAAAAAAGTGAGACATTTTTAGGATGATAGCAAGGGACTTCATGTATCCTTGCCCTAAAGAATCAAAGCCTTGTTCAAACAAAAATAGGATGTGCCGTGCAAAATGGATAAAACTAATGTGTGGCACCAACCATCGCAGACTAAAAGATACATAGAAGAATTTGTAGTGATAGAAAATTGAAATTATGGTGGCAGATGACCCTCAGGCTAAAGCAGGCTTCCCCAAGCTCTGACCCACTGCCCACTACTGGTCCAGGGCCTGTTTGCAAACAGCCCCACTCAAGTGAGAGTCGCAGACCCTCTGGGCCCTACACCCACAAGTGTCGTGGGTGCTCACGGCCCCATTTGCGTGAGCATCGCAAGCACTTGGGACCTCACTTGTGGGAGCGTCACGGGCACTCTCAGCCCCACTCACGCAAGCAACTGGTGCTCATGCATGTGCATGCACGGGTGCACACACCTGCCCCCCCACAAAATCATCCTCTCTTTTGCCCCTCCCCTTTCCGGGCCGCCAAGCCGAAAAGGTTGGTGAACTCTGGGATAAAGGATCCGGGTTAATTTCAAGCTAATTCTTATTTTACTATGTTCTATTATGTAGTGCCGTTATGAGGAGTACATTAAAGATCCTATTGAGCTGATGATATATACATATAAACCTGAACAGATACAGTATACAGATAGAACATTATGGAGTGGAGAGCAAAACTAGATAATGATTACATGTAGTCCTTGACTTACAGCAGTTCATTTAGTGATTGTTTGAAGTTACAACAGCACTTGTGACTTATGACAGTTTATGTGATTTATGATTGTTTTTCACACTTATGACCATTGCAGCATCCCCATGGTGACGTGATCAAAAGTCAGAAGCTTGTCAACTAACTCATATTTATGACAATTGGAGCATCCCGGGGTCATGTGATCCCCTTTTGCAACCTTCTGACAAGCAAAGTCAATAAGGAAGCCAGATTCACTTACAGTAACTTTGGGCATAGGTAACCTAGTAATCTAGTAACCATGTTACCAGCTTAACAACTGCAGTGACTCACTTAACAATTGTGGCAAGGGAGAATGTAAAACAGGGCAAAACTCACTTAACAACTGTCTTGCTCAGTAACAGAAATTTTGGGCTCAATTATAGTCATGACTCATAAGTCAAGGACTAACTGTAATGGAGAAGCAACTTGAGATTTGCTCACATCATAGAATGGGATATGAGGTTATGCAAGCGGGACATTGAACAGGTCTCTCGTGTTCCCTGCAGCTACTCAGTGTGAAAGGGAAGTTACTCAACATCCCCACCCATCTGCCTTGAACTGATTTCACTGACAGCGTATTTCCATGTTCGCATTATGCCATTCCCTCTCCTCCGGCTTCAACAAAGACAATTGGTATACTCTTCCTCTAAGGAATTTTGCTTCCACAACTCCAAGAGGTCACAGGCCACAGAGGAACCCATAGAAACAGGAAACGGAGCTTCCTCAGCCTACTTTCAAATACTCAAAACCTGTTTCCTTTCTCTATCGCAAACACAACCTCACAGTCCGGCATTTGGTTCAGATCCACTGCGAAAGCAACAGCGCAAAGTGAAAGAGTTTAGACGGGCTCGGCTGAAGACAATATGAGAGACATACTAAGGTTCTTGCAAGCCAGGAGAATGTGGGAGATGTTTTCAGTACTGCTTTTATTAACCTTGGAACGAAGCAGTGCAGAAGCCAATTCAACAGACCCAGCCTTGGTCATGATTTCGGATTCCAGCCCAGTGGAAGTAAGTCATCCTGGCTTGACTGATCCTGAAATCCAGAGCTTTGGAGATGCGCAGGCACCGTCATCGATACTGGATTCTTCTGAGAAACCCCCTTCTGTGCTGACTGTAAAACAGGATGAACGGGACATAAAACATAGCATTTTTATCACCCAGGAGGAAACTCAAAGCTCACCAACTCCAGTTACAACGCAGCAAGGAGAAAATGTCACTCTTAAAACTCTTAGCAGAGAAAAGGACAGTGATGGTGATGTTACAAAATCCAAGGCATTGATCCTACCTAAGGATGGAGGGCATCCAGCACAGATCAATCCTCGAAAGGGCCCCCTTGCAAAGGAAACACCCAAAAAACCAGTTGTGAGCAGAACTTCCAGGCAATCGAGCCTCCAGCAGGCTAAAGATAACAGGAGCCCCAGCTTTGAAACTACCAGAGGAAAGTAAGCAGAAACATATCATCTCCATTTTTTTTTTCTTTCCTTGGGAAGACTGGCAGACTTTATAGAATCCTAGGTAAAGTTTCTTCTGTTCTTAAATAAGAGCAGAGCTCATGAGAAAGATGGGTGGTTAACTGAATCCAGCCAATAACTGAGTCATTGGTAAATAGGTACAACTGTGTTGAACTAGGCATTGCAGCAATGATGGGGAAAGCAATTGTGGATAGTCTGGTGACAGATAGTGTTGGTTATTTAAATTACACTGATTCTTGAGAAGAATAAAGCAGTCTGCATGTAGGATTTCTAGCATCATCTGCAATGCAAAATGTCCCGATCTTTTATTACAATAAAAATAAGCAATATAAAATATTTATTTTTAATAGTTTTAACAGCTGTTTAGGAAGCCATGGCTGTGGACAGTATATTACTGCTTTGGAATTAAAGGTGTGTGGATCTGGTGAGCAACTTCAGTAGGCATGTCCATGAAGCTATTGCCAGGGGTCTTCAAACTTGGCCCTTTTATGACTTGTGGACTTCACAAGTCATAAAGTGTGGTAACCGGTGTGAACCTTATGACGTAGGTCAAAACCAGTGGTGCTACATTTTTTCTACAACTCTGAGATCTTTCTCATGTCTCTTCTCGTTGTTTCTACTAATCCCCTGACCTCCGATTTCGTATATTCCTTGCCAACGACCTTAACCCATACAGATCAAATTACTTCTCTTCCTGCTCCCCCCTGTACTATCGTCACTTCCAATATCTCAGAGGCTGCCACAAAGAAGAGGGAGTCAAGCTATTTTCCAAGGCGCCTGAACGCAGGACAAGAAGCAACGGGTGGAAACTAAGCAAGGAGAGAAGCAACCTAGAACTAAGGAGAAACTTCCTGAGAGTTAGAACAATTAACCAGTGGAACAACCTGCCTCCAGAAGCGATGAATGCGCCAACACTGGAGGTTTTTAAGAAGAGACTGGACAGCCATTTGTCCGAAATGGTATAGGGTTTCCTGCCTGAGCAGGGGTTGGACCAGATGACCTCCAAGATCACTTCCAACTTTACTATTATTATTATTATTATTATTATTATTATTATTATTATTATTATTATTATTATTATTATTATTATTATTATTATTATTATTATTATTATTATTATTACTCCTAGAATTCCTCAGCTAGGCTTGCCTGGCTGAGGAATTCTGGGAGTTGAAGTCCACAAGTCACAAAAGGGCCAGGTTTGAAGACCCCTGCTATTGCTGTGAAAAAAATGCCTCATGGAGTTTTTGTGTCAATGAGTTGTTGCTTCAGTTAAATGTTGGAAGTCTAGCCAGTCTTCCTGATCAGCTTCTTTGCTTCTGTTAATAAATTCCTAGGCTCTTTTGCCAAGACTTTAGAGGATAAATTGAAGGAATGTTGGGCTGCTATTTTGGCTCCGGAGGTTATAAGTTTGTCTTTTTGTTGTTAAGTGACCATGTGGCCCTACATTGCAATTTTTATACTGTTTTTATTGCAAGAAAATTTGATTGATGCAATATTGTTCTGAGCCACCCAGAGTCAAGAGACGCAAAAAAAAATCCACCCCATATAAAAATGTAAAGTAAATTACTAAAAATAAACCAGGGAGGCAAAGCAGCATCATGGCTGTATTTTGCTTCATTTTGATGAGCTACTATACATCAAGAAAGCAAAATGCTCCTTTGAAGATCCACACAGCACTACTAGTTACATTGGCAAACAGAGAGAGAGAGGGAGGGAGAGGGAGAGGGAGAGAGAAGGAATCCATCCATTGTTTCTCAACCTTGACAATTTTAAGGCATGTGGACTTCAACTCCCAGAATTCCACAGCCAGCATTGCTGGCTGTGGAATTCTGGGAGTTGAAGTCCACATGCCTTAAAATTGTCAAGGTTGAGAAACACTGGGTTAAGCTATCATTTAAAATGCTGCAATTAAATTCCAGTATCACAACTATGCAACCTGTTGTGGTCAGGAGTGAACCGTGATAACTTCTATATATTCCCTTTGGGAAACCTTCTGCACTTACCCAAAAAACATGAGAACAGATTGAATTGACTCAATAAAGGTCCATGAACTGATACCAACTTTCTTCCAAGTGTATTGGTCCAGATCTTGATGGATGGGTCCAGACTAGGAAATGCTGCCCCCCCACAAATGTCCTTGACCTCTTTGAACTAGGAAAACTTTTAAATCTCCTAATGCCATGGAGAGAAGGATGGCTTATTCCCTCAGTCTTGTCCCTTCTCCTTTCCTGGATCCCACTTTCTTTGGCGACTAGCTTTTCAGAGGTGTCTTATCAGAAAAGTCTACGGAGGGAAGAGCAATAAGGAATTGATGTATTCTACACTGCTTGCATGGATTCAGACATGGCATTGTTTTCTTTGACTAAAATCAATCTCGGTGGCTGTGGTGCTCTATTTTTATAGGGAGATGGGTACAAGGCAGATGTTGGCAGCTTCTGTTTTTATCTTTCTATCCAGCCTTCTTAACTTAGCAGCCGCCAGATGGTTTGCCTTAAACGGGTAGTCCTCGACTTACGACCACAATTGAACCTGAACTTTCTGTTGCTAAGTGAGACATTTGTTAAGTGAGTTTTGCCCCATTTTACGACCTTTCTTGCCACAGTTGTTAAGTGAAGCACCGCAGTTCATAAGTTAGTAACTCAGTTGTTAAGCCAATCTGGCTTTCCCATTGACTTTGATTGTCAGAAGGTTGCAAAAGGTGATCACATGACCTTGAGACACAGCAATGGTCATAAATATGAATCAGTTGCCAGGCATCTGAATTTTGATCACATGATCATGGAGATGCTGTAAGGGTCGTAACTGAAAAACTGTCATAAGTCATATTTTTCAGTGCCACTGTAACTTTGAACGGTCACTAAACAAACCGTTGTATGACGAGGACTATCTGTACTCCCCATTATTCTCACTCAGTATTGGCATAGAAGTTAGGGAGGATAAGACTATGGTGTATTTGGAGGGAGCCAGGCTGCAGATGGAAACTTCAGTTTATTTATTTAAAAAACTTTTATATCTGCCTATTAAACAACATCAAAATAACAATATAAATTTTACACACACACACAAACACACAACTTTGCAGATCTCATGAAGACTGCAAAGAATCTCTTGGAATGCTAATCTTGGAATCTCTGCCTGCTAATTCATTTCACTGCAATGTATAATCTGATTTATTTAATTTTTATTCCATCCTTTATAACTTTATAAGTAACTGAAGGTGGCAAACATACATAATACTCCTTCCTCTTCCTATTTTGTCCACAACAACAACAACCCTGGAAGGTGGGGTTGGCTAAAAAAAGAGTCACTGACCCAAAGTCACCCAGCTGGCTTTCATGCGTAAGGTGGGACTACAACACCAAACTAACATGAGAATATGCCTTTTTCTATAAGACCCTCCATCCTGCCTCAGGTCTTCTGAGGAAGTTCATCTTTAGTTGTTACAATTTATCTGACAAGGGCTTGGGGTGGGGCCTTCTCTGTTGGCTGTCCCAAATATTTGGAATGCCTTCTTGTAGAAAAGCCCTCCAAACACTTTTAATGTCAGGTGCAAGGAACCAGAAATGACACAATGAGCTGATCAGAGGGATATTTCCTTACCTATCGGCAGGAATCTTGCCAGACTAAAGTACACATTGCATGACTCCAAGGTAAATACTCCAGCCTCTTCCTCCCCAAAGAGATTGAGGGCTACTCAGCTGTTTCACTCCTCTACTTCTCCAGTGGTGGGATTCAAACCATGTTTGTACATTTTTGTTTGAACTGTTAATTTTTATAATTTTATGTGTGTTACTTGTTTTCATTGCTATTAATTGCTATTTTGTTTTAATGCCTTTATTTTTTATTATTATAACTGTCAAGGGACTTTATTAGCTGGCAGCATACTGAGCATGGAAGCCAAAAAATAAACCACTGAATAAGTAATATTACATTCATAGGTTTGGAGGGTTTAAGGTATAAAAATACTTTCCCTTTAACCTTCTGGATTTTTAATTTTTGGAATGCAATTGCTTGAATAGTACAGATAATGACTCTGGGCAGAATTAAGCTATTTGTTCAGATGGTATTCACATGGACAATCTGTACAACTTGTAAGAGCACTAAAATTTTTAGTTGTCTCATCCCCTTCCTCCTTGCTTTATCATTCCCATTCAGCCTGAAATAATAGCAATTGGCTACTGACTAGTATTATATTACAGCCATAAATTTAATAATAGGAACCAGACATCACTTGAATTTAGTTTACAACATGGTCTTTAAAATGGTTATGAGCTAGGGACCAAAGAATATAATACTGGAATTGGAAACCTCAGAATAATACTGTACCATTAGTTCAGGGTTTCCTTCCTTCCTTCCTTCCTTCCTTCCTTCCTTCCTTCCTTCCTTCCTTCCTTCCTTCCTTCC